CCCTCCCTCCCTCTTTCCCTCTCTTCTAGTCTCCTTCTCTACTCTCTTCCCTCCTCTCCTCCGTTGCATCTCCCTTGTTTACACCCATCCCCCTTCCATTTTTCCTTTCTCCAGGAGCCTTGGTGAGTCTGTACTTGGCTTCATAAATCATACCTTATGTCTCCACAATAATCTGTAAACTCTTTCTTGCTTCCCTGTAACCCTTCAACTAAATCCCATCCATCTCTCCTTTGACTATCACCCTCTGTTTGAAAGAAGCATCCTTTTTCCTGGATTATTTCAGCAACTTCCTAGCTTATTTCCCTTCCTCATGCAGGTGATCCTGTGCATATCCTGTTTCTGGGCACTATTCTCCAATCATATCCCATCTCATTCTCATAGAAATTCTAAATCTGTCAATGACGTGCATGACAAATCATTGCCTCTCTCTTTCCTCCTTTCTTAATATGTTCTCCCCTGTCAAATGCAGTGATGTCTTTGACATGTAAACACACTTTATTTTGGGACATATGCTTTTCTCTCCATTTGCAATCTCCTCCTGAGCTGTCTGGTGCTACTACCTCACATCCTTGAAATATACTTCCTCAGCAAAGATTTCCTTGGCCTTTATAAAACTGCAGCCTTCCTGAACAGCTTACTGTCCTTTCCAATCTAATTTTCCTCCATTGCACTTTTCATGCTCTAACATACTGTATTTTTCTTCATTTTTCATGTTTCTTAGCGCCCTAATCCTACCAGAATCTAAGGCTTCCGAGGGCAGTTTTGTCTGTTCTGTGCACTGCTCTGTCTGCTGGTGCAAAGCAGGTACTCAGTGGATACTAAGTGGATCACCAAGTCTATAGGCACCGCAAGTTCCTGCTTCTGTGCCTTCCTGGCTGCACCTAGTGTACCGCCTTCCTTTCAGTCTGCCATTGTACCAGTTCAGTAGATATTCTTAGCTTTTGTATTTAGTGTTAGGCCTCAAGCCCAGGGCCTCACACATTCTAGGCAAGTGTCTACCACTGAGTTAGAGCTCCAGCCTTGAGTAGTTCTTGGGAAGAATGATAAATAATGCCCTTTGTTACCTTTTGACTTTTTCACAGAATATTTGCTTTGCTTAGAGTATAGTTCCTCCTCCAGCTCACCAGGCTAACACCAGCATGATGCTCAAGATCTTGAGTTGCAGATGATTTTAAATGATAAAATAGTTTGCATATCTCTATTCTTCTATCAGCTCCCCCTAGAAAGCTACCCTTGGCCTTACCCCTCAGGGCTATTCTGGCCTGCCTTACTTGTTTATCAGGCATTATCCGTGGTATGCTTCAGGCTCTACTAATAACAGCTTTTGATTTTTTTAGAAATGAAAGAAACTAAAGATTACGGTAAGCCAAAATAATCTGCTATGAATTTCCTTAGAAAGTTTTCTTTTTATTTAGGAGAAGAATGAATCATTTTCTTCAAATGTTATCAATAGCATTTATTTTTATTGTAAACCTAAGCCTCATTTGTCATCTGATCCTTTTTGTCATATTTATCTAACTGGCCAATAAAAATTGTATATATTTAGCATGTCAATATTATTTAGAAAAGTGTGTACACTGTAGAAAAGCTTAGTTGAACTAACTTGAATTATCTTACATGTGATTTTGTGCTGACAGTACTTAATATCTGCTGTTTGTAATTGTTACATAGATAGCATGTGAAATAGAAATTGTTAAAATTTGTTTTATAAGAAAATTGAACTCAGACAAGCTCAATACAATTAGATCAAATAAGCTCTCACAGTGTACCCAAATCATACTGAAGGTAGAATTTTCTAAGCTTTAAGCCAGCAAAATACCCTTTAGTTCATCACATCAGAAGACATAACTCATTTATTGGTACTGAAATTATAATTACACCTTACAAATTCAGAGTCCTGATGGGGAATTGCATGTATGCCTCAGAACTTTCACGGTTTCCTGTCTTTGTTCACTGACACATACTCTATAACTGTATCATACACAAATATTTCATTTTATACTATTTGCTGTATTGGTGTTCTTAAATATTTCATGTGATAATACCTAAAGTACATACACAGACATCATGAAGACATAGTTTTCTCATGCTAGACAGGATGAAGCACTTTTTGGTGCAGGGTATGGGGTCCCTGTATGAGAGATATGTCAAGAGTTCCTGGTGGCCTTAAAAGAGACAAATCACAAGTAAGACACTGCTCCACTTAAACCTCAAGGTAGGGAACTTTGTCTCTAGCAGATTCCTATTTGAATCTTGCACCGCTCCTGGGCAGGAGCATGGGATCCTCATGATTCCCTCTAAATGCTTGAAGCTTTCCTGAATAGCATCTTGTCTAGGTTAATTTTTCCCCAAAATATCTCCAAGCTAGAATTTCAAATGCTCTATTGATATGTATTTTTTCAGAAAATCACTTTTTTTGGATTTTCAGAAACATGGAGGCACAGTGGTAATGCACATATAAACAAACATTTGTTTTTTTAATTTCGTTGATGTCTGACCTTTCTCATTTCATCAATGTCTGATCTGTTTCTACTTACCTTCCCTGGTCATCTGCTAGTCCCCAACATATGAGGGAACAGTAACAATAGTAACAACAATAACAAAAATAACCTTGGGCCTGGGCTCAATGATTAAGAATGCTTGCTGCTCAATCACGAGGACAGGAGTTTGGAACAAACAAACAGGGTGTTCTCAGAACTCCTTTAACTTCAGCTAAGAGGGATCTGACATCCTCTTTTTGGATTTCTGCACAAGTGGGCATATACAAATACACATATAAATAAATAAAATATGAAAATAAATCACTTTGGAGGCCAGTGAGATGGCTTAGCCAGTAATGGCATTTGCCACCAAGTTTGATCACATGGATTTGATCCTAGACATCCACAAGGTGGAAGAGTCCTCTGACCTCCACACACATGTCCTGGTATGTGCACATTTACAAACACACACATAAGTCAATAAATATAATTTAAAATATAACAATTATCTCATCAGTTACTTCCCTGAATATACCACTCTCTTGCTCACTTCTGCCTCAGATTCGCACATGTTGTTCCATCAGATGGGAGCACACGTTGCCTCTGCCTCCTACAATCTTTGGCTACCTCACTTCCACATGTTCCTTAAGCTGGTTATGTCACTTCAGAGAAAACTTCAAGTTTTCTTCCCTGGAGTATCACCTGGACGCAGATACCTTTCTTTTCTGTTGACATTTCTACTAATTGATCCAAAATTCAGTGTCCTAAAATTTTATTTTGCTGGGGTTGAAGAGATGACTCAGTGGTTAAGAGCTAACACCAACTTAGGGTAACCAGATACCTCTGCCCTCTATGGACCCTTGCACTAATGTGTACACACTCTCAGACAAGCATACATCTAATTTAGAATAAAACAAAATCAAAATCTCAAAAACATATTTTGCTTACAAATCTGTATTTGGGCTGTGTTCACAGACTGACTGCTTCCCTGAGCACCTGCTGGAAAACCTGGACAGGTGGCACAGGAGTAATCTGAACTTTTTTCACTCACTGGTGGTTGACACTGATTTAGCTGATGCTGAGTCCTGAAGTAGACCTGTTGGATGCAACATCTGCATGTGTTTTCCTTAGGATTTAGAATTCTTCTCAGTACAGTGGCTGGGTTCCAAGAGCAAGCACTAAACAGGACATTTTGAGATAAAGATAGACATATAACATACATATGAATAGAGAAAGAGTGTGTGAGGGGGAAGATGTATGGGAAGAGAGGAGAGAGAGAGAGAGAGAGAGAGAGAGAGAGAGAGAGAGAGAGAAATGAGAGAGAAATGTTTTAACCTTCTAAGACCTAACCTTAAAAGACTCACAGGGTCAATTCCACAGCATTCAATGCATTGAGACAGTTACGCAGCCTTATTCAGTTGTAAGAGAAGAAGCAGACTCCAACTCTTGATTCAGGCTGTTATTTCTGGGGAAGAAAGTGGGATTAGATACATTTCTTCTGACAGCTTTGAAAATATAATTTGCCACATCATACTATGCTGTATCCCTCCATATTCACCTGATTAAAAAGAAAATTATGTGAGAGTTGTGATTTGTTCAAACTTGTAGGCATTAGCTGAGAAAAATCAAATCTCCTATTTTCAAGCATTAACAATGGAGACATAAAGATACATTAAGGGAGACAGTGACTTTAGTTGCAAAAAGCGTGGGTTACCCGGTCCCGGATCTGTTTGGTCTTCACACTGTAGACAATGGGGTTCATCACAGGAGGGAAGAGAAGATACACAAATCCCATGACCACCTGCACCAGATGAGGCGCCTGCTTCCCAAAGCGGTGGATGACGGACAAGCCAATCATTGGAGTATAGAAGAGGAGCACAGCACAGACGTGGGAAACACATGTGTTGAGAGCTTTGAGTCCCTCAGCTCGGGAGGCAATGGACAACACGGTGCGCAAGATGAGGGCATAGGAGAAGAGGATGAGCAACGAGTCCACACCCACCGTGGAAACAATGACGAACATGCCATAGATGCTGTTGGCCTTGATGTCAGCACAGGCCAATTTCATTACTTCTTGGTGGAGACAGTAGGAATGTAAGAGGACTGTGGAGCCGCAGTAGGGGAATCGTTTGAGCATAAAAGGCAATGGGAAAATGAGCGCAACACTACGGCCCAGAGAGGCCAGGCCTATTCTGCCAATGACTGTGCGGGTGAGGATGGAAGCATAGTGCAAGGGGCGACAGATGGCCACAAAGCGGTCGAAGGCCATAGACAGCAGTACAGAAGACTCCAGGAAGGACAAGCAGTGAATGAAAAAGAGCTGGGCAAAGCAAGCATCATGACCTATGTCTCGTGCCTGAACCCAAAAGATGCCTAGCACTGTAGGGAGGGTGCAAAGAGAGAGACCCAGGTCAGTCAGAGCCAGCATGGACAGGAAGAGATACATAGGCTCGTGAAGGGAGGGTTCTGTCTTAATGATGAAAAGAATTGTGCAGTTTCCCAGGATGGAAACCAGGTACATGAAGCACAGTGGGAGGGAGATCCAGATGTGCATGTACTCTAGCCCAGGGATGCCACTCAGCAGGAAAGTAGAGGACATACTGCTGTTTCCTAGGGATCCCGGTGTCATGGTGCATGCAGGAAATGGGTGAGGTGGATCCTTTTCAAAGTCCTGAAATGAGTTGTAAAAGTGTTACTGATTGATTGAACCTGGCAACCATGGAAAATTCAAAACAAAATAAAAAAAAAAGATTAGAAGAACTAATCCTAGAACTACATAGATCTTGCAAGAGATAATTTCACTCCTTTCATTGTTTCCTGTTTTTTGAGAGTGAGTCTTATGTATTCCAGGCTGGCCTTGAACTTGCCATGTACCCGAGGGTCACCTTGAACTATTGATGTTTCTGCCCAACCTTACCAGTGCAGAGATTATTGGTATGTACCGCTTTACCTGATTAGCAGCATCTTTTTGAAGGAAATGTTTTGTAGTCTCACAGTTTCAAAGAATAACAAAGACCCGTAAAGTAATGTACTAATTCTTTTCAACTTTTAAGAGCTAAACTGGAGACGGTGGATATGCTTAGTTAAGGGGAAATTTAAGTGAGAAAATTATGGAGCTGGGATAATTCAGGTTTTTTCTGTTGGCACTGTTGGTGGTCTGCCACACGAAAGGTCTTTCACCAATAAAGACCACAGTTTTTGGGGACTCTTCCTTCCACGGGATCTCATCTTCTTGGCTTCCAGTAATTGTCTGTTTGCTCCTCCAGAGTAAGAGGTGAGCACACCCTCACAGTCATTCTGTACATAGATTTTCCTATTCTAATGAATAGACCCTTCATCAAGCATCCTCACTCCTTTTCTGCCAGATCCTTCACTAATGTCCCAGTTTCTCTTTATCTGTGTCTTTTGCTGTTACTCTACTCTGCATGCTTCTTTCCTGTACTTTGATGTTTCTGCTTCCTGTCTCTTGTCTGTTCTCTTCTGATTTTGCTGCTGTATAAAATCTCTAACCCATCGACAGTCTAACCACTAACCCATCTCTCTCTTCTGATCTCTGCTGGTATAAAAATATTGCCAGTTCTGGCTCATAAATTGAGTTCAGTTCACAGGACTCCAGAAAGACCCAGAGGGCAGCTGTCTGTCAAACTATATCTGATTGCTATGGTATGAAGCCAGAGTTCTGATCTTCTACTCAGCCAGCATCTGGTGTTCCCCAGAAGCCTAGCAATCCAATTCTTAGGGACCTACATAAAGGACTGTGACTTCATCTTCTATTATAAGATGAGTCTACCAAAATATATAAAGGCCAACCAAGAATGCTGTTAAGGCCCATTCTTCTATAGATAGAGAAATAGTCATTTAGAGATCCAGTCACTGGACAGAGGTTAGAGACATGTTGATGCTTTGAATTCCATGGATGGGGGCGGGGTGTCCTAATTCCTAGTCCTGACAGAATGTGAGGCCGGGCATGGCAGGAGTTTCCTTTATTTACCTCTATAAAATATGATAAGTGCTTAGTATGGTGTTTTTTTTTATCATGAATACAAATTAATTTTTTATTTAGTTAACAATTACTGACTTAAATAAAACTATAACTGTTTCTGTGATTTCAGAAATAGCAAATGTCCAAAATGGGATATAATAGCTAATTTTTCCTGGAGTTCTAAATAGCTTCCAGGCTTTCTTCTCACATACACGAAAATTTGGTGACAAATAGCAGCAGTCTACATAAAATCAAAGGCTTGATAGGTCTTTGAAGACACAAAGACATGGCCTATTTAGCTAACCTAGCCAGTTTTGGAGATGTCTAAGTTTTCTGTGCTATGTTCCCCAGATTCTACTGCTCCATAATCTGTTGCACCACATTATTCATTAAAGTTAACTCAGCAGAATTGTGGTATAAACTTACTTGTAATGGCCTCAAATGCTACTACTCAAAAAGGAAAAACCAGCCAAACAATGTACATTAAATGAGGTAGGATAAAGAAGAACACAAATATAATTCTTGATGAAAGTTCAGTGTTTTCCAGGTACCTTATCAGGAAGAGTCTAAAACTAATCCCATTAGTATTTCAGAAAACTTTGAAGGATAACGTTATTGCCTCAATTTTCAGAAGTAGAGAGTCTTTAAGACTTTGATAATGGGTGTAACATCATACAAACTGCCCGACAGGAGAGCTGGAATTCAAACTTAAATCTTTAGAACTGAAAAACTTCTAGTGAGAATTGAAAAGCAAAATTAACAAATCTGGGCAGATGCTTAGCAGCCTGAACTGGGTGCAGGTCAAATAAGAAATGATTTATAGAGATACTGTTGCAGGAATTTCTGGGGGTCAAGAGACCAATAACCAAGTCTAGTGAAGGAGAGGAAGTTTATTCACACCAGTGGACTGACACTCAGATATTCTGTAATGGTGCCATCCCCAAGCTCATGTTTGTAGGAAAGTTTATAGTCAATCATATGACTATAATTATGTTATAATTAAGATGTTAATTAAACAAACAGAAGCTTTCAGAAGCACATAGGTGGCAGTTAAGCAAGTGGTTACAAAAGATCACGAGAATGTAGTAGTTTGGCAAAGAAAGATTTCAATGGGGTGTATACATATGTAAAGTAGGTAATGTGATAATAGACCTCAGTGGGCAGGGCAGATTCCTGTTTACCTTTCTCATTCTTTTCTTGTCTTTTTTTTTATCTCATCTTGGAGGCTTTCCAGGGTTCAAATTCCTTCATAATCACTTTACTGTCAGTAAATTTCCATTTCCATTACAATATCAAAAGTGAGTTCCTACCTTTTAATTAAAAGTTGTTCTTTCATTGTAAGAAGGTAACTCTGAATAGGAATCAAGGAGAATGGTAAGGACATGTTGGAGTAGGGGACCTAGAAATACAAAATCCAGAACAATAAAGCCAAGATTTAGAGTGACTATTTTAAACCAGAGAGAGAGAGAGAGAGAGAGAGAGAGAGAGAGAGAGAGAAAGATTTTTAGCAATGTAGCTATTCTAAGATCTTCTCGTGGAAAGGTTGTCACAGTGTGTATCTTTGTACCTTTCCATCTGGAGGAAATGTCATTGCGTCTGATCAGTAGTAAAACAATTGCTTAGGGTACGCTTGGGTAAGGGAGTAGATTTGCTCTGTGATCGACTGTGTGCATTTGCTGTGCTTGAAGATCTCTTTCTGAAGGGGTTTTAGCAACTTTACTGACTCTCTTGATTCTTTTTTTTTTTTTTTTTTTTTTTTTTTTTTTTTTTTTTTTTTCTTTTTTTTTTTTTTTTTTTTTTTTTTTTTTTTTTTTTTTTTTAAAAAAAAAAAAAAAAAAAAAAAAAAAAAGAGGACGATAAATCGTGATTTGTTGTGGCTTGAAATTCTCTTTCTAAAGGGGTTTTAGCACCTTTATGGCTCCTTTTGTTTTTTTTTTTTTTTTTTTTTTGGTATGCTATGGTCACTAAAGGAATAATCATTTTGCATTACAGAAAAGCTTATCATCCAAAGGGTCAGATAGCTTCCTAACCATCTATCTTTTTGCTTCTTAAAAATGCTCCAAGAAGTCCTAATTTTGTACAGAGGTTGAATGGTAGGTGGTGAGCCATAGTAATCAAATCTAAGCACACTGACATTTCACTCCTAACTTGTCTCTGATTCCTATCATTATCTCTGCTGTTACCACAAGAAAGCAACTTCCTGGAAACAAAACTGAGGGAGTGGATGGGTATGAGAAAGCATCGGTCTGTTTTCTGAGCTTGTTTGAAACCAGATTTGGGATTTCATGCAATTAGAAAGTCTTACTGCAGTCAATTTAGCAGGCATCCTTGGCAACATTTTGAGTCAGTGCCCTTCTCTTGCCTCTCCAAAGCATAGACTGAATCTTCTGGGACCTCTTCTTGGCAACACAACTGAAGAGCAAACATCTGTCAACTATAATAACATCACATACCAAGGCTCAGGCCACAGGCTGAAGACAGCTCACCAAGGAAAACAGAAGTAGAAAGTAGAGGCTATGGAGTTTCAGAGAGATTGGAGGATGGATATATAAACCCCTGGTTTTATGTAAATAAGGTGCCACTGAGACCCTTTCAATTGCCTTTAATCAACTCCCTACTGAGACTCCGCTCATGGGAATCATTAGTGCAGACTCTGGAAAGGAAATCAGAGAGTGGAGAGCTCTCTTATGAGATGAGCAGACCAATGGTGCTAGGTATTGGACCTAATCCTGAAGGATAAGGCAGAAGTTCTATACACACTCCACAACTTCAGTAAAGCAGAGTAGGGGTTGTTGATGATGTTTTATGTATGATATAATGCACTTCAATTAAAGTACATTGCATGTCGTAGAGTGAGGGCCAGAGATATAAGCATACATGTTATTTAAGAAGTGATTTTTAGTAAGGTAACCAGAGAGACCAATACCACACAGCATCACTCATTCATGATGTGTGAGGGGTTGATTGTGGAGATGATGAGAATATAGTAGTTACCAGAAGATGGGGCGCATGGGGGTGAAGGAGATGAGGAAAAGCTAATCAATGGGTATTAAACTACAGTGGTCTAGAAAGACATAAGTTCTGGTGAGTCATGGCACAAAAAATGTGATTATCTTTAAAAAAAAATTTTAATTTTTGGGACTGGAGAGGTGGCTCAGAGGTTATAAGCATTGACTGCTCTTGCAGAGGACCTAGGTTTGGTTCCCTGCACCAACATGGGGGCTAACAACCATCTGTAACCCTAGTTTCAGGAGATTTGATGACCTCTTCTGACCTCTGGGGGCATTGCATGATACAGGTCAAACCGGTATAACTGACCCCAGCCCAAATATATACATATATATACATATCTGTATACCTATATATATAATCTCCAATGAGTCTGATCGGTGTCCTCAAAGGTCCTTCAGTGTGGGCCCATCCATTGGGCCCACCAAGAGTCCCATCCTTATAAGACATTGTCTTCCCCCTTCCATTAGCCATCAATTGCCCAAAGTTCCTTAGGTTGTGTGGGGATATCTTGCTCACTTTCCCTTGTGTATGCTGGAATTTTGTCTGGTTTGAGCTTGCTCTTACCACAGAAATTGGAGGTGTAACTCAGTGGTAGAATTCATGCTTAACAGGCATGAAGTCTTGAGAATCAAATCGAAATAAACAAAAATCCAGAA